CCTTAGCGCACATGTGAAGGTGTCTGTATGTTTAGGATGAGCACAATTTTTCAAGATTTTATGCCGGATATTTTTTTAATCAAAACAAAAGCTTTTGATACTTCCTCCACCACTGTTCACAAAGTCTTCTAAGTCATTGTCCTTCCATCACCACACAAAGACAAGTCTCTCTCTTTGAAGACTGTGCATCTCAGTCTCACTAATGATTATTTTATTGTCAGAGAGTTGTCATTAGTTGGAACCTGACCAAAGGAGGTTAGCCTAGGTGAGTGTGTCTAGGTGACTCACCGAGCTGTCGTCAGAGTAGGCACTGAACAAAGCTAAGCTGCTCATACCTGTCCTGTGAGCTCAGGGATCCCTCCCAGGTCACCCTTACACTGAAACCATACACACAAACACGCACAGTACAAACCATCTGTCTTTTTGTGAAACTGATGAAAAGTTTGCTTTATTTCTCACATACAAGGAGGGGGGGGGTACGACTTTTAAAATGCTTTGCAGCACTGATTGACTTTGATGTGCTCAGTCAGAATCGTTGAAAACAGATGGCCGAGGAGAGAGGGCTAACGGTGAGGCCTGTCAATCCAGGGAGTCCTCTAAGAAAACAAAGTGAAGACACTGGCTCTGGGAGAGGAGGAAACCCCTGAGCTTCTCAAGAGGCTGCCACATTCTTGAGATTAGGACAAGAAAAACGTAGACTACTGCTGCTAATGCCCCAGACAAAGGCACGGGACAATTTATTAGTTAAGAATTCAAGCTCAGAGCTCAATCAAAGGGCCATCGTCCACAGTGCCAGACTTGGAGATTTGGTTTGTTGTTTTAAGTAAATAATCACGCTTAAAAGATACAGCATAGATGGGGCTCAAGTCCCCCATAAAGCCCGCATTCTTCCAACTGTCATCAGAATGGACTTTAGAGCATGCTTTTATTTTCAACGCGGCATTGTTTGTCTTTTTCTCTATGAATACCATTTTAAAGAGCTTTTTATTTAACTTTCTTCCCCCTAGACCTCTTTACCTGATCTGTGGTATTTTTAAATAGACAGCTCGCCTTGACGTGCAGTGAGCTGATGACTTCAGGGGTTAGTTTGAAAAAAGGGAAAACCAGTGTGAAGGACTAGTTTGCAAATTTACACCAATAGCTGGTTGAAAACACTACTAAATCTGTCAGCTCTGCAGTGCTTGTGCATATGTCTTGGCGTTAAGTGAAGCAGCAAGACAATCGTGTGCTTGATGCTAATTAATATTTGGGTAAATAAGAATCCATACGTGTGAGTAAATGCACAGCATTTTCAAAATATCAGGTTGATTCGTACTCATAAAACTGGTCTGTGTCCAAACATCATGCACTGTGATATACTGCATTGTTGTCAAATGAGTAATTGCTGTGAGATATAGATGAGAGAGGGCAGCCCATAATGGTTAATTAACAATTATGTCAGCCAGTGAGATGACCAGGAGACCAATCACTTTGATAGGAGACAGTGTAGGGGGACAGAAATCAAATTACTTTATGACTTGACCCATAATGCTTCCCTAACATGACTTTAATCACTCCATGGTGCGTAGGAGTCCCCCATGGCTCTTTTGGAGTGAACCAGCCTGGAGTGGAGGACAGCGAGGCTTTACCGGTTGCTGTTATCTCCTGCGACATTGCTGAGTAAGTAAGCCATAAAAGAACACAGCCATCATTACGGCAGTTTGGTTGCTTTTCAGAGAGATGGAGCTACTAATGATTAGACATGTTCTTTGTAAATGAAATACAAATCACCCCGGGCTTTGGGTTTTACTTCATTTACTAAGTGCTACATTACCTCATACTTTGGACCTAACAATGGATTTCCAATAAATCTCCCGGTAGTTGAAATGATGAAGGGGCTCACATATCATGAAACTTGCCAGTGCTTATTAGCACTTGAGAAGTTATTGATCGGGGATTTTGATTAATATTTGCTGGAGGGTATGGTGGCATTCAACCCCCCCACCCCCAACCCTGGCAGCTGGCAGGGACTTCTCTCAGTAACCTCCAGTTTGTGCTGACTGCCAGCCTGAGCTCTGGCAAGATGACAGCCACTGCAGAGCTCTAATGCCAGGAATAATAGGAGCTCACCCTCTATTTCCCGATTCTTCTCCATTATTTAGACATAAACATATTGAAAGCAGGAGGGGGGGTGTGGGGGGGGTGGCTGTAAAGGGTTTGCTTATTGGAAAAAGTTTACTGTATGGGTCAGGACCACGGAGTATAGGAAAAGCATTAGATAACTGTAATAATAATACTGGAAGCGTTATATTTAAAAATACCCTCTTAAAAAACAACCAAACAGACAGTGAGAGACCAATAAAAACATTATATTTAGATAGCAACCTCTGATTTTATGGACTCAGAGGTAAATTGAAAGCTGATTTTTTTTACAATTTAATCCAACAAAAGGTAAATTGAAAGTGTTTTTGTGTTGCATACACTCAGTTACAGGTGATCAGACGAGCATCTCTGATTAAATGACAGGTCAGATGGGCTAAAGCAGCTGAAGACCATATCTGACGGCCCTCTGTTCAACTAAGAACAGGAAACTGAGACAACAATTCACTCACCAAAATAGGGACAACAGAACATAGGAAACATGGTGCCTGGTTTGATTTGATTTCAGCTTTGGTAGGGTCCAAATTCATCAATCCATCCTGCCTTGTATCCACAGTTCAGGCTGTTGCTGGTGGTGTAACAGTGGGGGATATTTTTTGGCACACTTTGGGGCCCTTAGTACCAACTGAGCATCTTATATCATATAATCTTATATCATATAATCTTATAATCATCATAGCCTACCTGAGTAGGCTCCTTTGACCTGCAACAATTAAATAAATAAATAAAGAGAAAAGGAAAAAGGAAAAAAAAAAAGGCAACGTTTAATTTAAAGTGCACACATCCCCACAATATGTAATATTATTTAATAGGCCACAAGTATGAGAACATTATGAGGAAAAAACATCAGGCAAAACTAAAGGAATCAGTCACAAAACAACAGATTTTAGTTTAGGCCCAAGAGATAATTTCTCTGTAATGTACTGCAGCCAGAACCAGTAATTTCTCGTAGAATTGCGCGGCCATCTTTCTCCATAATGGACAATAATTGACCCTAATCCATCTCTATGGCTAGAAATAGTCCACCGTAATGGCCATAAATTGTTCCCTGCAAAGGCACTTAAAAATCCCATCACCCCTGCTGTGTGAGAGAGGCATTGCAACTTCTGTACATTCCCTTTTTGTCCTTACATTTTGACTCCATGCTGATTACATACAATGAACATCCAGTGGCGTCAAATCATACCTTTTAAGCACAGAGCACACTCAAATGACCTTTGCAGAGTTTTAGTGGCACAATGTAATCCAGGATTTCTGCTAAAAAAGCATTATTGATTGAAAGCATGACATACAATGGTTCCTGATATAATCCCTATTCATCTGTAGAAGATACGTCAATTTTACTTAAACTATAAACTGCTTGGACTCTTAGAACTTCTAGTATTTTTTTCATGGCTCTGGAAATTTTAAAACATATTCATCGACCTTCTAAAAGAGGAGCTACTGTAAACCTAATTAACTTGTTTCATTTTTTGAAAGGGCACCTGCATTAAACAAGCCGAGCTACTGGAGACTTTCTTCCAAACTCCACCATAAATCATCAGCAGCAGCTATTTCATCTGATTGAGCTGCTGCAATGAGCCTGAAGTTTGCCTGTGCTGCGGGGAATGCATTTGCGGCAAGTCTCATAAATGCCAAGTTCTTTGGGCACTAAGAATAAATATCGCAACCACTCTCTAAATTTACCACATAATTGGGGACTTTCCCCGTCTGCACAA